CATGCCAGTTAATGTCCCACTGGCCAGAAAAGGGGAAATATAACCTCAGTTTTTAAAAAGGGAAAAAAGGAAGACCCAGGGAACTACAGGCTGGTCAGTCTCACCTTGGTGCCCAGCAAGATCGTGGTGCAGATCCTCCTGGAAACTGTGCTCAAGCACATGGGAGATAAGGAGGTGATGTGTGACAGCCAGCATGGTTTCACTAAGGGCAAATGGGGGAAGGTGTCCCTGCCCATGGCAGGGGGGTTGGAACTAGATGGCCTTAAGGTCCCTTCCAACCCAAACCATTCTGTCATTCTATGATGTGTGCTAAATTCATGTCTTCTCTTATTTTACAGTAACATGCATATATTTGTATATTACCAGGCCTAACTCCTTTTAATAACCTTTTAATCAAACACACTCTAGACAGAAATGTTTATGGTTTGATTTGGTTTTATTTAGAAGCTGGAAACAGTTCTTTATGAAAGAAATAACTGACATGCTGTAACTGTGCAAGTGTAAAGCAAGCCGTAGGTACTGGCCAGTCTAAATAACGGCAGGTACATGTTGCAGTCCTGGACAGACAACAAAGAAGTGATTGCAGCTGCCTCAGCATGTATTCCTTGATGCTCTAAGAGTTTATTTTGTGGTTATATTAACTGTGTATGTAAGGCTCATGTGGGTTCGTGTTGGACCTGAATTACTGATCCCTCCTGGAGTGTTCGGGCACACCCAGCTGCCTCTGCAGCTCTTGCTCCCTGCAGTCAACTATTTCTGCATCTCCTAATGGTTCCTGTATTAGTCAGATTATCTCCCTGGTCATTTGGGTATCGAAAAGTTAACAAGAGGTGTGTAATGTAAATACAACTCACAGTTCCTTGATCAACATGTTCCTCCTGTTATAATGATGAAGCTGCTGACAGAATCATAGAATGGTTTGGATTGGAAAGGACCTTAGGATCATCTAGTTCCAACCCCCCTGACATGGACAGGGACACCTCACACTAGACCATGTTGCCCAAGGCTCTGTCCAGCCTGGCCTTGAACACTGCCAAGGATGGAGCATTTCACACTTCTTTGGCAACCCATTCCAGTGCCTCAGCACCCTCACAGTAAAGAACTTCTTCCTTAAATCTAACCTAAACTTCCCCTATTTAAGTTTGAACCTGTCACCCTTTGTCCTATCACTGCAGTCTCTGATGAAGAGTCTCTCCCCAGCATCCTTGTAGGCCCCATTCAGATACTGGAAGGCTCCTCTGAGGTCTCCACGCAGCTTCTCTTCTCCAGGCTGAACAGCCCCAGCTTTCTCAGGCTGTCTTCATACGGGAGGTGCTCTAGCCCCCCTGTCTTCCTCTGGACCTGCTTCAACAGCTCCATGTCCTCTGTATGTTTAGGACACCAGAACATGTTCTGGTTGGTGTTTTCAATAAATGACTGAGTTTTTTCCTCCTTATCATCTATAGACTCTGTATATCTCTGGATTTATAGATGCATGATAGGCAAAGCGTTGTTTCCAGAGCAGTGTACGTTTTGCTTCTATACAGGAATAGGTTTTGATGTTCTGTGGTAGTTTTGAATAATCAAATCTTCTTAGCTGCGATTGTTCTGGCAGGTTCAGAGAAGCAGTTCGCATTAACTTCTCCCTAGAAGTTAGGACTGAGTGTCAAAAATAGTGCACAAGGTGAAAACAGTGAAGTCAGCCATTGGAAATGATGGTGAAGGAACCTCTTGGCTTCACACCTTAATATTGGCAATTATGGGAAGCGTCAGTCTGAGCCTCAAGGCCTTGGACTGCCATTTTGGGAGGCAAGGAGTTAGTTGGGGATGGAAAGACTGTAGTTTGTATTCTTTCTGCTCTGTTACCCATTGCTATCTTCATGGATCTGACACTCTGTTTATCTGGCAGTGCACTCAGTAATGCTTCGCCAGGGAAAATTGCACAAAACAAGCCCAGTGCATCAGCATTTTCATTGTGTATTAAGCTGAGCCTCCCTTCACATGGTCACATCCCCTTTTTAATCTGGGATTCCATGTCCCTTTCCCAGTCCAGCCTTGTTTCTGTGGTGTCTATTGCTGGTCTCCCGGAGCTTCTGTTTCTGTAGTTTGAGTATTTTTTGTGTGGCTGACTGTTAAGACCTGCAGGACTTTTGGAAGTGGCGTTGTTTGGGGGTTAGGCAATACACTGATTTAGTGTTAGTAGTTTGTCACAGACTGAGGTGATGGCCGCGTTCAAGTTGGATTTCCTCCCAGAGATGATGGTGGACCATTGCTCATTGAATGCCAGCCCTGTGTAAGTATTTCTGTCTTCATGTCTAAGTTTGTAACTGAAGTGATGGTGGGAATTGGTGTCTCTGGAGCCTCTGTTGTCCGATGGACTCCCTTTCCGGGCAATAACATGGGGGGAATGAGATAGAGCCTGCAGTTTGTTTTCTTAAAGAAATCCTACTGGGTGTTGACAGATGATGTTGAATCCTGCATGGGAGGAAAAATAATCTTTCAAGTTCGGGGATGAGGGCTAAGGAGGCGTAAAGCTATTTGGCAGTACTGTTTATAGTATGCTACAGGTGCTGATATTATAAAATCAGTTATTTAAATCAACAGGTGGGAGAACAGTTTCTGTTCTTCCCTATTAATGACTCCAGGCAAGACCTTTCAGTTAAGGAATGAAAGATTCCTTGAATACTGTTGAGGTCATGTTATGAGTTGCCCAGTTAATAAGAGCCATGCTAAGCTCTTGCAGCTACCCACGGCATAGAAGGCAGGGCTGAAGATTATTATTGGAAGAGGGTAAATGTTTCCAGTTGTTCTGCTTCGTTAAAGGTATTGTTTGCCTTGACTATTTGGACATGTCCTCACCCTTTCTGAGTGGAAAGGTAAAGAGGACTGAAAGGATTTATGATGATTCCCTTCTGTTCTAGTAAGAAGCTTTGTTGCTTCTGATCTCAGGGGAAACCTTGTAACAGTCTTCAGATACTTTAAAGGGGCCTACAGGAAATCTGGAGAGGGACTTTTTACAAGGGCAGGTAGGGATAGAACAAGGGGGAATGGCTTTAAGCTGAAACAGGGTAGATTTAGATTAGATATTGGGAAAAAAGTTTGCTATGAGAGTGGGGTGACACTGGCACAGGGTGCCCAGAGAAGCCAGGTTGGATGCAGGGGCTTGGAGCAACCTGCTCTAGTGGAAGGTGTCCCTGCCTGTGGCAGGGGGTTGGAACTGGAGGAGCTTTAATGTTCCTTCCAACCCAAACCAGTCTGTGATTCTGTGTCTGTTCATATAGCTTCAAAATTATGAGCTTTCCCTGGCATTGCTTCTTCCTTAGGCTCTGAACATCAGCATATTGAGGGGGGGATTAACTAAATGTTCCCTGGTTTGGAAATCTTGTTTTACTTTTAAAATTCTGTTCAGGGGGCAATATGATTGCAGATGGACAGTGAGAGGAACACTCTTTAATGTGTTAATAAGCCATTCAAAAACTATCTCTAAAGGAAAAAAGCAGTGATGAAGAGAGCTGACTGCAGTAGAAGGTGGCCGCCTGTATTCTTCAACAAAGAGATTGGGGGCAGGGGGAATCATTGGATAGTTACTGTTCCACTCTCCACGTCCCTTCTAGACTACACAGGTGCTGGTCAGCAATTCTAATCTACTGGTCACTATAGCTACAATAGAATGTTGTTACAGTCAGTCTTCCACAGAGAGAGGTCCTGTGGTCTACTAGACTGTGACAACTGATAACAAGACCTCACATTGTACTTGCCAAACTATGAGGGATCAATACAGGAAGCAGTGTATGGTTGTCAACAAGCTCTGTGGAGTATGACACAGTTTGTCAATGGGCTGTAAACTGTTCATACAGCTAGAGATAATGCCTTGAAGCCTACTGAAGATTTCCATACTCAAAACTTCTGTGGTGTTGTAGTCGAAGAAGTGACTTTTTTCTTATGTTAACACCCTATCATTACTCAACTTGATTCAGTGTGTGACTAACTATAGATTGTTCAATCCCAACCTCTTCATGTACAACCTAAGCCTGTTTTTTCTTGCCAAATACTGCTGAAAGCTCCCTAGTTTCACAGTGAGCTATTGCTTGGTAAACCTTTAAAGGAACTTCTCATCTGTTGAGTTACACCTGTTTCTCTGTGTGAAGATGCATCTTCACCCTGGGAAGTAGTTCCAGGTAATCACATTTTAAAACAATGAAGAAAATATTACCCTCTTATTTTCAGTGGTTCCTGGTAACTTCAGTGATCTGTGGGTAGACTGAGTACAGGTTCCTTCCTGTTCTGGTTTCTTTTTCTGTGAAATTTTACATGTGTTTTACTTGTGTTTTCTGACTTTTTATTTCTTGTTTGTTGTTGTTCCCTATTATTGTTATCAATAGTTATTATTGGTTTTATTTCTATTATCATAGTCTACTTAATTTCAATTATTAAACTGTTCTTATCTCAACCCTTGGGTTGTACATTCTTCTGACTCTTCTCCCCAAGTAGCTGCGTGGTACTTTAGTTGCCAGCTGGGTTTAAACCACGACAGTGATGTTTCTGAATATTCTCTGGTATGCAGGACTGGGAATATGCAAGAGTCTCTCTTTATAGGTGTATTTTAATCATATACATTGATATATGTGTAGAAATAATTTTTTTTATCTTGCTGTAAGTGTGCTGCTTCTAGCTGCAACAGCATCTAAAACCTGCAAAAAGATATAAACCAGAAATTCATTCTTGATTTCCATAGTTCAAAGAAAATGAATGGCACACTGGATCACCCAGACCAACCTGATCTAGATGCTATCAAGATGTTTGTGGGTCAGGTCCCACGGAGCTGGTGTGAGAAGGATCTAAGAGAACTTTTTGAACAGTATGGTGCTGTCTATGAAATCAATGTCTTGAGGGACAGGAGCCAAAACCCTCCTCAAAGCAAAGGTGAGAACTTCTGTACTTCTCATGAGACTATGAGAGTTAGCTGCTTTCATGTAGTTAGTCTTACCTGTTAAAGGTTGTTAGCTTATTCAAACATCCCTGTGAGGAGCTCTATGTGACCAGGTGTTCATGCTAGCCCAGGCTTTATAGTCTGAAGTGTATGTATCTGATTATATTTGAACTGCTGTCCAGTCAGTAACTGAGCTGAGGAAAATCATAATTTAAGAGCTCAGAAGTGATGGGGATGCTGCAAGAGCATGGATTATAATTGCAAAGCAGAATATAAAGTTAATACTGTGTTGCTCCAGAGCATCTTTGTGATGCTGTAATGTAGTCAAAATGTTGCTGGAAGTGCCACAGTTTCAGATAAAATACAAAATTGAGGTCTTAGTCAGTTGTGTACCATCAAATACTTGAGTACATCAAATCCTAACTGAATGTTGTACCTGGATTTGCAGTTCAGTTAAATGCAATATCTTATTTCCTGCGAAACTAGGTAAGTTTTTGGTACTAGCAAATGTTGAGTTTGATAATGAAAACAGCCATCAATTCTTTGGCAGATGTATCTGAGCATTTGCTTTAATAGCATACTGGTGATGTTGGGTCAGTTATTTTATAACACTTAGAAATCTTCTTTGAACAGTCACTATAGGCAGTACCTGCCTATTCCAATGTCTACCCTCTTCTACTTGTCATAAGATTTGCATTGGAAGGATAGAAGTGGGACTTGCAATTTCTGTACAGCATATCAAGATTCATGGTTCTTTCTTGGCTAGAATCTTGTTTTCATTGCAGGGTGCTGTTTTGTTACATTTTATACCCGTAAAGCTGCACTAGAAGCACAGAATGCTCTTCACAACATGAAGATCCTCCCAGGGGTAAGAGAAAAGCCATGCTTTCTTCACAACTCTGTTTTTCTGATCTCTGGCACCACTGATGTACAAACATACGTTATCGTGCGCTCAAATAATGTTTTAAAAGAACTATTCAAAAGAGCAATGTCGTGAGATTTATATGATAACAGATCTTAAGGGAATTTTGGAGCATATGGTATTGAAGTGGGTGGGTATGGCTCCTGTAATACTCTCTAAGGAGGAATGATGGCATATCATAAGGAAAGCTTTTCTTTCTTCTAGAAATCTATGTGTTGTTATGTATGTATTTCCGTAGAGGCAGTTTAGGTCTTTTTTTCTCTTTTTTTGCACAATTCATATAGGATGTGTTTCATAGAGTATGAAGTGAATGTATCTAGGATTAAATAATCTTTTTACATTTCAGATGCACCATCCTATCCAGATGAAACCAGCTGACAGTGAAAAGAGTAATGGTAAGCTTTAGTGTCAGTTTGGTGGCATCATTTGCTCTAATAGGGAAGCTTGAGGATTTTCCTTTTCTTAACAGCTTCTAATGAAGTCTTCTTGAATTGGAGACAGGAAAAAAAAGCTGTGTTTTCAATGCAGTAGGTAGCATAAGTGATGTCTCTAAAATTCCATGACTCAGAATCTCCCACTGCTGCTGCCTGCGGTAGAACCATGTTGTCAGTTAGGGAAACATCCAGTGAGTTCTTCTTTGTACTAAGGTGGTTTAAATATGTGTTGGGGATGTGGACAGTGGGATTGAGTGCACCCTCAGCAAGCTTATGGATGACACTAAGCTGAGTGCTGTGGCTGATACCGTAACAGGAAGAGATGCCATCCAGAGGGACCCTGAAAGGCTAGAGAGGTGGGCCCATGTGAATCTCATGAAGTTCAACAAGGCCACATGCAAGGTCCTGCACCTAGGTCAGGGCATTCCCAAACGTCGATGCATGCTTAGTGATGAGTGGATTGAGAGCAGCCCTGTGGACAAGGACTTGGGTTATTTGTGGATGAAAACCTGAATATATGCCAGCAGTGTGTGTTTGCAGCTGAGACAGCCAGTCATATCCTCGTTTGCATCAAAAGAAGGGCTAATAGGTCAAGGGAGGTGATGCTCCTGCTCTGCTCCACTCTTGTGAGACACCTCCTGGAGTACTGTGTGCAGCTCTGAGGCCCCCAACATAAGAAAGACATGGACCCACTCTAGTGGGTCAGTGGGAGGTCCATGAAGATGATCAGAGGGCTGAAGCATTTTTCCTATGAAGACAGGCTGAGAGAGTTGAGGTCGTTCAGCCTGGAGAAGAGAAGGAATGGGGGAGACCTTAGAGCAGCCTTCCAATACCTAAAGGGGGCCTTACAGGAAAGATGAGGGTATTATTTATCAGGGAGAATAGTGATAGGACGAGAGGTAACAGTATTAAACTGAAAGAGTGAAGATTTAGATTATATATTAGGAACAAGTTCTTTAATGTGAGGGTGCTGAGGCGCTGGTACAGGGTGCCCAGAGAAGCTGTGGCTGCCCCATCCCTGGCAGTGTTCAAGGCCAGGTTGGACACAGGGGCTTGGAGCAACCTGCTGTAGTGGAAGGTGTCCTTGCCTATGGCAGGGGATTGGAACTAGGTGATCATCAAGTCCTTTCCACCCAAAACTATTCTGTGATTCTGTGAAATCTAGAAATGCTTTTTCAGGTGCTTGATCAATTTGAAGCAAGGCCTATTGCAGTCAGGGTGGGGTCAAAACTACTTCTTGTAGTATATAAGGGAGATTGAGAATTCACCACTGTTCAGTAGAGAAAAATACTGAGTATTTCTGCACATTGGCCATTTCAGATGGATTAAGACATTTAGCATATACCACTGGGTAAATGATCATTTTTCCAGGCAGTTCCATGATGAGTTTAAATATGTAAATGCTCAAACGATTGTGTATTTATATAAATTGCTGCAAGATAAGCAAAGAAAGTGTTTAACATCTTGTAGTTTCAGTCTTTCTATGCTTACTTGAATCTGTTTTCTTCATTTGCCATAGTTAGTATAACATTAGCATTGCATCATGGAGAAGATAATCCTGGTTCCAGAAAACTTACATCTTAAGATAATTGAAAACAGAAGATGGGATATGTGGGTAACATCTAGTAGGAGTAATTCCATCTGCAGGTTCCTCCATGTGTATACAGAATGTTTCTGTGTAAATACATCTAGAAAGGAGTAATTCTTTTCAGCTATTGTTGGGAGGAGAGCAGAATAGCTTCATTAAATTAAAACTGATCTTGCATCTCTCTCTCTCTCTCTCTCTCTCTCTCTCTCTCACACACACACACACACACATCCTGGGAAAATAATGGAAGGAGGAAAAAAGTATTTAATGGAATTTTAGGGTGACAGTTCTGAGGCTATTATGAAATCATACGAGTTTTAGTAAAAGGTGTAGGTGAAAATATAAATTAGAAAGCATCAGTTAAAGTATTTTAATTTGCCATTAATAAAAGGGATTCTGGTTCTCTTGAACTAAAATGGACGGCAGAAAGTATTTGAAAATAGCTTTCTGTTCTAAGAGCTTGAAAGTGAACTGGGTACAATGTTAAGAATTAATAATCAGTTAAAGTCCTGGAGATGGAATAGTTTGGAATTTTCCTCTTAAACACCATAGAAGAGTCGGCAAATAAGTTGATTTCCCCTCACCATGGCACTTAATAGGAGAAGACCTTCTTGAAGCTTCAAATTGTGCTACATTTTTCACGATACTATATTTTATATTGTGCTGAATCTTGTATTTTCAGACTACTTTATATTTCCAAATGGTATTCTGCATAATTTGCTTTGTCCTTTAAAAGCAAGTATGTCAGAGGTGATTAGCATCCTTAAATAAGTAAAGCGAGACACAAAGTTCTGCCCTGGATTTGAATTTACCCCACTCCCTTAAGTGACCTTAAACTGACATTCAACCAGTAACTGAAAAGCTAAGATAAATGTCTTTCTGGACCATTTATTTTAAATTGGTCTGCACAGTGAAAGGTGCTATTCAATTCTAATGTATCTAATGTAACATCAGCATTTAGAGGCAAGGTACAGTAGCACACAGTCTATTGTTCTGATTTGAGGTGTTGTTTTCATGCTCTTGGTACAGAAACGAATGGATAAATCTGAAATAGAACTGAAACTGTTCTGGCTTAGCAACAGATGTTACTTCCACTGTTGAGACAGGAGCATGAGGGAATAGGCAGATCTAAATTTAAGTGATTGGCATGGTAAAGAGGCTAGAAATAAGATTTCTGCAGCTCTGTATCAGTTTAGGTACAGTTAGGTATGTTGATAGTCTAAAGATAGGAGAGACAGAAGCGAGAGGATGAAAATAGTCCAATAAAACATATACAAGTCTTCTCTTACTGACCAGGAACTAAATTTAGGAGATAAAAAGAAGTGCTGAATCTGATGTATTCTTTCCTTATATTCTTGCAGTTCACAGGCTTGCAAGGGAGAAACAGTCAGCAAAATGTAAACATAAACCATCATAAAATGGGCATCCTTGAGGTTCAGTGAGGTATCTTATATGCATCCTCTTAAATTGAAGAGATACCATTATTGGGAATCTGGTTTTGACAAGTCATTACCCTTAGTACAAGGGAAATAACTGCAGCTGGTGGAGAAGTCTTGATCTAGTAAGCATATATTTGCTGGTAATACTCTTTATCTTTTGCTTTCTTAGCAGTAGAAGATAGAAAGTTGTTTATTGGAATGATATCCAAGAAGTGCAATGAAAATGATATCCGAGTGATGTTCTCCCCCTTCGGACAGATTGAAGAATGCAGGATATTACGTGGCCCAGATGGCCTGAGCCGAGGTAAGCAGGAAGCTTTTCAGACAGTTCAGAGCTCTCCACTGGGTGCTGCCTTTTGCAGCTCAAGGTGGCATTTTTTCCTATCCACCACCATTTTCATGTTTTGGTTCTTTTTTGTTCTCTCCCCAGGTTGTGCATTTGTGACTTTTACAACAAGAGCCATGGCGCAAACAGCAATCAAAGCAATGCACCAAGCACAAACCATGGAGGTAAAATAAGTTAGTGAGTGTCAGGAGATGATGTAATTTGTCAGGCAGTCGCTGTGGAGTTTGGAGGGCTTAAAGGGCAGAGAGAAGGATAAGTGCAGTGTGTGTTTCTTCACAAATGCTACTCCTGGACCTTTGTGTGTGTTTTGCTTCTATTTTTAGAGCTTGAGATAGAAACTTCATCTGCAGAGAAAAGATATCAAAAGAGATAATAGAATTAAAAGCAAAGGAAATTTTGAATCCTTAATGAAATGTGCTGTTTGAAAATATATATATGTGTGTGTGTGTGTGTATGAATGCATGTAGAGGGAGGGAAGAAGAATGCTTCCAGTGACTGGGTCTTAATGCAGTATTTTTGTGTCTGCTGGGGATAGCAAGTATGTAATTGTTTGAATTGCTGTTTGCAGGGTTGCTCTTCTCCCATTGTGGTAAAATTTGCAGACACACAGAAGGACAAAGAGCAGAAACGAATTGCTCAGCAACTCCAGCAGCAAATGCAACAGATCAGTGCTGCCTCAATATGGGGAAACCTGGCTGGTCTCAACACACTTGGACCCCAATACTTAGCAGTGAGTTTCTGATTTGGGTTCTTTTAATCTCTTCAGGGATTGCAGTGTCTGACTGTCTTGTAGTGTTTAATGGATTAATTTTTTAGAAGGCTCCTGATAGATATGAGCAGGGTTCTTAATCCCCATTTAGTGGATGAGGAGGCTGAAATTTAGTTATATGCTAACTAAATTTAGTTATATAGCTAGTCGGAGGATATATTTAAGTGAGGATTTCAACCCCACTCACTGTAGCCCTAACTATTGAAACTTCTTTCTTTGTTTTCCTGTCCTCTGTAGAATGACTTTGTGCTGGGAACGTTTTCTTAATACATTATGGCCTCCATGTAATATAAGTGCCCTTTTCATGTTTATCTGATTTACATACTTCTTGTATTCCTATTCCACCTCTTTTTCAGCCTTTACTTCTCTTACCCAGTTCCAGTGAAACCTAGAATATTAGTTGGTGCTGTCCAAATAGAAAAGGTGATCAGGTTGGAAGTGCCAATCAGACAGTGCACAGTAAAATAAAGAGAAGCTACTGTCTCTTAAACTGACAGAAAACAGTCTGTTGTTTGTCGCTGATTTGAGTCGATTTTGCTGGGTCACTCAAGTGTGAACTTCCCATAAACTGATGTGCTCTGACTTGAGTGGCTGTGGGAACTGTGTTCATGCAATATAAGGTCTAGGGAACAGAAAAGGAAAATTTCATGGCATTCTTGGTAATGGTGTACTGTGGAAGTGGGGGCATTCTCTCTTTTACTACTGCTTTAAGTTTGGTAGATGGGAATTTTTTATAACACTGCCTAGTTAATTGAGCAAAGAATAGGAAATCCCTCCAGCTTCTGAGCTGAGGCTTGAGATTTCTGTCATGGCTTCTGTGTTTAAGGAAAGCAGAGTGAGTTCTCTCTCATGGCGTCTCTTTCGTTTTGGTATGGCATATGCCATTTGTTCTGTGCTGGCAGTGTCAGCTCTAAAGTCTGGCTTGAAGTATATATCCTTAGAGGTGTCAGTCCTGCCTGAGGTGCTTTGAATAGGAGTTCTCTCACTATTGATTCCACTGTTTTTTGTCTTGGTGTGTTAGCTATAAACTTCCCTCAACACTGATAAAGTTGAGTGAGGAAAGCGTTGTGCTGTTGCTTTGGCTGCAATATGCATGGGCAGTGTGGATTTTCACTATAGTGATGCTCTGGCTGTAGCGTGTAAGGGGAATTCTCTCTATGCTTTGCTACGGTGTGGTGCATGGGCAGTGGGAATTCCCTTTGTGACGGCGCTCTGGCTGTGGTGTGGTGCACTTTCTCCCAGAAGCGGAGCCAGCCCTCACTCTCACTCTTGTTTTGTTTTTTGGTGTAATGTCTAGCTTTATTTGCAGCTCCTTCAGCAGACAGCAGCTGCGTCATCTGGGAACCTGAACACACTGAGCAGCCTCCACCCAATGGGAGGTGAGTTTTCTCCATCAGAACACAAATTCAGTGCCCAAGAAAAGAGGAGGGTAGAGAAAGTAGGCAAAAGGCTGTAGACATGATAACCTCATTTGAAATAAGTAGTCCTGAGTTAACCCACTCCTTTGGAATGACAGGAATCCTCTGTTACAAGTGCAGATCTTCCTCCTTAATCTTAGTTAACCATTGTCCCCAAGGTAAGTATATGCTGGTAATCTCCCCTAGCTCTGGCTTTAAAGTTATCTTCCCTTATGGGTGCAAAAAGATTGCTTTCTTTATTTCATCCAAACAGCTGCCTGTGTGAAGCATTGTGTTTTGAAGTATGCAGTAATGCATGTGCTCCTGTGAAAATGGATACTTAGATTGCCCATTTTTAGTTCTTTATTCTTAAATACTTCTATGTTGGAAATGCACCCGGAACTAGTCCTTTGGTTAGGTTCTTTAATTCCTTCATTTGGATCATGATTAGCTATGTTATTGCTGTTAGGGAAATACCGGTTTCATACATACGAGCTAAATTCCTTGCTGTGAACTGCTCGTCAGAATATTCACTAAGTATAGGTAAAAGTTTAAGTGCAGTCACTAAGTACTGGGCTGCAAATTGATTGTCGCTTCTGTCTTCACAGAGTGGGTAATAAAAATCTATTCACCACATGCTCTTAATTCTTCTGATGGTAAAAAAGGTTATAGTTTTGGTTTTAATACTCAAAACTGTAAGGTTTTAAAATTGACTTCTGGAGTTGTACAGTAGTTCACAATATTACTTGTCCTGTCTGTGTAAAAGTTAATCTAAAAGTCGTAAGGAAGCATCTTTGTACATCTGACTTGTTACTGATGGATGTACCAACACAGTTAGAAACTTTTGCAAAGTGTTACGTTTTAGATTGTAAAAACTTTGATTTATACTTGAGCAACCATTCTAGTGGAAGATGTCCATGCCCATGGCAGGGGGGTTGGAACCAGATGATCTTTAAGGTAACTTCCAACCCAATCTTGATACTTTAGGTTGATTCTGACCTTAGCTTATTATGCTTACTTTTTTCATATTAGAACTCTTCTGCTATCTCCTTTCTTGAAATTCACAGAAAGAAAAATTAAGTAGGTAATTGGATCCCAAACTACATCAGACGTTGCAGACGAAATTTAATCTTGATGCTTTTTGAAAGCAGATGGGAAAACAATGTGATGACAAGAGGGCAGGTGCAGAGTGAACATGCCAGACTGCTTCTAAAAGGAAGCAAGCTGCTTTGTTCTTCACTAGCTTTAAGACTTGCACTTTTAACCCTCTATAGCAGAATAAAAACAAAAAGTACAACTTCTTGATTTTAATTTAATCCTTTTGTTTTACAATGGCACCTTGGGAATCTATAATAAAGGCAGAATCCTGTTTCAGGCACTAAATGTGGATAAGGAAACAGACCCTGTCACAAAGAGAAAACAATAGAAAAAGATTTAAAAAAAAAAAATGAACTATGCTAATAGTAGAAGACGTTTTTTGTTTTTTGGAAAATAAGTAGTTTATACTTCATTGCCATTTGCAATCTTTTGTCTGCACGTACTTAAATTGCAAAACTGAGATTTTAATTGTTTAAGATGTGTGCTTTGTCACCAAATACTTACAGAGCATCTGAAGAAGAGGTGCCATGTCTGCCAAGGACATTTTGACATTGTCAATGAATGGAGATTAATTTAATTTTGGTTTTAATTTTGTAAGGAAGAATTACTAGGGATTGTCTGAAGTCAGATGAAAAGAGGAGGGATTGTTAGAATAAACAAAGGTAGAAACAAAAAAGGGAAATCAGGGAAAAGGGTTGAGAGGCAGAATTGGAAGAATGGAGCTAGCCTACCAAAGGAAGGCTAAAATACAGAATTCAGAAGGTCAGTATTGATGATAATCTCATGTCAGAAGAGGGTAAAACTACAGTGTCAGTACTGACTGACTGGTTTCATTCAAAAAGTAATACTGAACATCAAGGTGAGTCAGATTTGTAAATTGACCACTAAAATTCATCACCACAGGAATACCTTCCTCTCCCTGCAGTATTTCTTGCTGCTTACCCACAACATGCCTGATGTTTCCCATTTTCCATACCACTTTTGTTTGACCAGCTGGCAAGCCTGCACGTACATGGGCTGATCTTGTGGTCAGCAGTTGCCACTTACCACTCTCTCACAACTGACTGTTGCTTCTTGGCTGCCCAGAGGACCAAACGAAACATGCTGATGCTTAGCTCATGGTGGGTTAAAGGTGGTGTGACTTTGTGGCCACTGTAGTGTGTAAACCGTCTTGAGAGAATTTTGTAGTTATTGCTGTTCCCACACAAAGAACATGGAGCAACATGAGAAAAGAAGAGAGTATTGGCCTGATGTCTAGGCAAGTTCTCTAGCTTGCAGATGAGCTATCACATCCTGGCTTAACTCTCAGTTATGCTATGCTTTTGTCTACATCTTGGGTTAGTGACTACCTGGTCTTGTACTGGAAGTCATCTATCTGGGCAAAGAAAGACTTCTTTTTTAGTTATGACAAGGAATTTCATCATGGAAAAGATCAGTAACTAGTATTAAGCCTCTTG